TAAAAACAGATATATAAAACGATTTCGCGGGCCGGATATAATTGTATGGCGGGCCGGATGTGGCCCGCGGGCCTTGAGTTTGACACATGTGCTCTAGGCAGACCACGAGGAAGGGAGGGCATATGTGTGGGTTGAATGGACACTGCTACCTAAAATCTCCGATTAGAGGAGCAGGGGCGCAGATACACCTATAGTGGACCAACCTTGGGACACACATCTCGAAGAACCATCGTTACTGCACAAGGTGAGTAACTTCCTCTTGTCCTTTTTTGTCTTTAGAATGCTGTAGCAAACTCTATCTGCCTATCTGACAAGATAATATCTTGCTGGTTCAAGAAGCCAGACAGAGAACTGACTGCGCCCTCTATTAACGATCTGCAAACTCTGTCACTGTAGATTCTGATGTAATATTTAGGAGCTGTTTGATGGCTGGGAAGCTGAGGGCTTGTTTTGAAATAGGCCAGACATGTTTCTTCTACTTGATGCTAGTTATATCCATGGAAGATGGGATGCTTCTTTTGATGGCAAAAGTGGCATATCCAGTCGACACGGCACTTAGGCAAAATGACTGTACACCTGACTTCCCTCAAATACGGTCTAGAGAATTCTATAGTAGGGTTTGTGGTCATCCTTAGCTTTACTGTGGAGGTGCAGGCCAAAGAGACTGTTGGCTGGATCTGAGTGGGCTGCTCACTTGACTCAAGAAAAGATGGGACTTGCCCTCTTTGTAGCCCTGCCCCCTTTTCCCTATTAGAAATGAGGCTGCTGCAATCTTATGCCATTTAGTGCCAATTCGTTGCAGCCCGGAAGCTGCTGACAAGTTTCCTGTGTGGCTGGGCAAAGTTTGGGTACCCCAGCCCTAATGGTCTTTGGCTTGGCAAAGGGCTTCTGCAGCAGTGTGATAGGAGATGCAAATAGGAAAGGCAACAAACACGCTAGGGTTGGATCTCTTGTTGTCTTTTTTTTACAGACCTGTGTCATCCGCGCATGGGATATGACCAAACCCCTGCTGTTCTGCCCTGCTATGAACACAGCCATGTGGGAGCATCCTATTACAACTCAGCAGGTGGAGCAACTAAAGGACTTTGGCTACACAGAGATCCCTTGTGTGGTGAAGAAGCTGGTGTGTGGGGATGAAGGTCAGTCTTTAGCATGGCTTCTGGCTACTTTCCTATGTGCTTTCTCCCATGATGATCATGGAAATGTTACACTGATGGTGAGACAATCTTCTCACCCTGTGAACTTCAGTGTGCTGCGCTGAGGTGAACAAGTACAGTTTGTGCTGTAACCCTCCATTGCCAAAGTTTACAGAAATGTGTTGCAATTGGGTCTCAGACCAGCCTTGAAGAAAATATTTCTTTTCTTGCCAATTTTCAAAATCCATGCAGACACTGTGAAATGCTAGGAATCCAAAGCAGAATCAGGAGTTGGAATTTGGGGTTAGGGGCTTAACTTACCTTCAATAACTCAAATCAACCTAAGATTTGTAAAGTAAATATTGCCAACTAGTAATCCATGATAAGCACACGAGAGAGAGGAAGGATGGGCCAGTGGTTAGCATGCTATCCTGGGACTTGAGAGACCCAGATTCAATTCTCTGCTCTGCCACAGATTTTCTGTTTGACCTTGGTCTAGTCTCTCTGTGCCCCAGTGGGGATAATAGAGGAGAATAGTACTTCCCTGTCTCACAGGGGAATTGTGAAGGGATAGATACATTAAAAAATGGAGGCACTCAGATACTATATAGTAATGAGGGCCATATATGGATAGAGAAGGAAAGCTGTTTCTTTGGCATGTTTTACGAATGTGTAATCAAGTTATTCATAAAAGCAGATCAGCTGTAGCACCTATATAGAATCCTGTTTGAACAAGCACATCTGTGTTAATATTTTAATAACTCTGCTGTATAGTTTGATACCAAGCTCTATGGTGTGCATTGACACAGTGCATAGAAATCTGTCTGGAAAATAAGACATGTTTAAAAATAGTCTTTGTGGTTGCTGAGTAGGGGTTGGCTTTCACACCTTCTGATCTCTCAAGTAAATAATGTCAAGTATCAGAGGGGTAGCCATGTTAGTCTGAATCTGTAAAAAACAGAGAGTCCTGTGGCACCTTTAAGACTAACAGATGTATTGGAGCATAAGCTTTCATGGGTGAATACCCACTTCGTCAGATCCAATACATCTGTTAGTCTTAAAGGTGCCACAGGATTCTCTGTTGCAATTAAATAATGTGCATCTCTAAAAGAGAGGCCTTTTGGAACTGAATACTAATATACATTTATGGCTGGATAAACACATTTGTAAGTTATTTAAATCAGTAAAAACACACTGGGCCATAACCGTTCTGCTAGGGTTCTTATAGCTCGTCACATCAAATTTCTCACATGTTCATGATTACCATAAATGGAAACATCCAAATGAGGTCAAACCACACAATAGACTGGCAAAATGGGAAAAGCCATCTGGATCAACATGCCTTCCCTTTTTTGTCTTTTCCTTTATCTATTTACCTAAGATCCACTATTACCATGTGTGGTGGGGTGTCTGCCCCACCCCCATGCTAGAGGGGGCTGCAGCAGGCCAGTGCGCCTGCGCAGACTGGCAGCCAATAAGAAAAGGGCTTACTGGGGGCCACTGAGAGCCAAGATTGGAGACAGCCAATCATGGCTCAGCTTGGCCCTATTTAAAGGCTGCCCAAGAAGGGCGCAGACAGTCTGGCGCAGACCTTCAACAGGGGAAGGTCTGTCTCCAGAGCTGGCAGACTAGCACCGTGGACAGCGCAGTGCTGGCCAGGCTCGGGAAGCAGAAGGGAGCTCTAGCCCGTAGCCTGCCAGGCTGCAGGCCCTGAAGGGAAGGGCCTAGCGGGTGGAAGGGGCCACAGGGGAAGCGGCCCAGGGAAGTGGACAGACAAGGGGAGAGAAGGAGGACAGCAAGGCTGCCACCAGAGAGTCCCTGGGCTGGGACCCAGAGTAGAGGGCGAGCCTGGGTCCCTCCTTTCCCTTCTTGCAGTACACCCAGCCATCGGCCGTGGGGAGCAGCCATCATGGACTACACCAGATCCCTGACAGGAGGGATTAGACTTTGGGGGTGTGGTTGGACATAGTGGCTGGGGCGTAGAAAGACTGCTGATCACCTCCCCCCCGGAAGGGGGTGAGGATGGACTAGGGGGCACTGCTGAAGGGCAGTGGCCTGAAATGGATGTTGCCGAGTGGGGAGCAACACGGTCCAGACACCAGCAGAGAACAGATGACGGACAGGACACTACCAGCAGAGGGCGCTCCACTGGACTGAGCTAATTCCTGAGACGACCAGTGGGAGGCGCTGCTGTGGTGGGTCCCAACCCTGTCACACCATGGTATCTGAGCACCTCGCAATCTTTTATGTATTTATCCTCACACATCCCTGTGAGATGGGACAGTGCTATTATCCATAATGTAGCGGTGGGGAACTGAGGCACAGAGAGGATCCGTGACTTACCCAAGGTCACACAGGAAGTCTGTGGCAGAGCAGGGAATTGAAGCCAGGTCACCCAAGTGAGCACCCTAGCCACTGGACCATCCTTCCTGTATATCCCTCACCATTGATATCTTACATCCATCAATCACTTCCATCTCCAGAAACAGTTGTGATTTTTAGGTCTTGTCCACATTGAAGTTTGCTCTGATCCCAGCGGTTGATGCCAGCAAGGTTCAAACCCATAGAGTAGCAAAAGAAAGCTGCAATTTGGACCAGTCAGTGTTTTGCCTGTCTATTCTACAGGTTTGTGTTGGTGCAGTTACACTGATAACAGGCCACTGATGACTGGAATCGGGGCAAAACCTCAGTATTCGCAAGCGCGTCTGCACACAGTCTTTGCTTGAATTACTTTCCCTTGTAATTTCTTTCCCCTAGTAGACCCAAGAAGTCTCTAACTATGTCTACACCCGAATTTTTGGATCTGTAATTCCCAACAGATTCCGCTCCCTCAATGGATGCTGTAATCAGTGCCGACGAGAAGGGGGGGAAGCCGGTAAAAATTACTGGGGCCCGGCGGTCTGGAAGGGGGCCCGGGGCCCAGCTTCCCTGGCTCCCCCCCTCCCCCCTCGTCGGCCCTGTTTAGCCGGTCCGCCCTTGCTGGGGGGCCCGAAAATTTTTTTTCACCGGGGCCCGAACCCGCTCTCGGTGGCCCTGCCTGTAATATAAACAAAACTCAGATGAGCTGACGTGTTTTTATCACTGTATTGCTTAATCTTTCTGGGACAGTAAGACAGATTGGCCTGCAGCAGCTGGCTCAGGCAAAGTACTTCTTAATGCTTACGCTTTTCATCCTGCTTAACCAGTATTCTGTGTCATGAGCTCTCAGTAGAGCCTATCTAGCTAAGCTTTTCCTAGTGGTGAAACTGAAGAGTGTTTCTCTTCTGTTTCATGATTATTTTATTTATTTTCTTATTTTGTTTGTGATTATCTCTCAGAGGTGCGTAGGTTTTGTGTTGGGGTGGATTTCACCCTTTATGAATAATTTGTGGGTTCAGGACATACTGCTTACCAAGATTTTGCACAGCTAAACAGTCCAGATATGACTTGCCAAAGGTGAAATGGAAGTAGCTGGGAAAACGCAGACAGGTCTTGGAAATGTTATTTATGGATCATTAAGATGAATGGCTCTGTATGCAGAACTGTAAGGAGCAGAGGTGTTGATAGTGGAAGGCACAATTTAAAGGTTTGGGGGGGGGACCTGACCGCCCCATGCATTGGCTCTGCTGCCCACCCATCGTCCCTTTGCATGCTCTCCTCCTTCTGCCGCCTCCTGCAGCGCTCTCTCTTGTTGTCCCCACCCCCAGCCCTGCTGCTCCTCCATAAATTGCCAGCGGGATGTATCCCGCTCCCAGCAGCTCTATGCGGAAAACCAGCCCCTGGTGGGAGCACTCAGAACACCTGCAGCCTGCCCGGCGGACTCCTTCCTTCCCCTCTGCCTCTGGCCAGGACAGCACCCCGGGAAAGCCCAAGACCCTCACGCACAGGGCGTAGCCCAGGAGGAGACGAGCCCTGCATGTGCCAAAGCTGTCCACAGCCCTGTGCAGCACTGGCATGGGGGAGCCTCTCTGCCCCTCAGATAAGCACTGGAGTGGGGGCTGGGGAGTGATTTCCAGCCTGTTCCCGCCCTGGACTTGCAGGCTCCCCAGCAGCCCAGTGGGCAGGGGCTTAGAGCCCTCTTTTCCCCTCCATCACCCTGCTCGGCCTGGGCCCTGGCCCCGGCCCCAGGGAGCATGGGGCTGCTCTGTCCAATAGGCTTTGTGCCCAAAGCAGTAGCCACATGTGGCGCCGCTCCTCCTGCAGGGGGCATCCTCCCTTGCTGAGCCACCTCTGGCTGGGCTTCGCGGCTGCTGAAGCCCCTGCAGCGCCCAGCACCTGCAGCTGGTTCAGGGAAGGTGGGGATGGATCTGCTGGTTCCCCCCTAGCCCAGCTTCCTGCTGCCAGGCACCAGCAACAGCCCTGCCCTGCCTGCTGCCACCACCTGCTCCAGTGGCCTTGCCCAGTCCCAGTGTGCTGCAGACTCAGATGCTCCTGCTGAGCCCTTTGGACTGCGATGACTCTGCCCTGCAAGCCCCTCAGTGCTGGTGGATGCCTGGCTGGAAATGGAAGGCAGAAATCTGGGGGGGCACATGACCCCGTGTGCCCTCCTCCCACACGTTGCCTCTGGTAAGGAGGCAATCCAAGAGGATGTCTCTTGTCCATATCTGTTGGGTGCTGTTCCACCTGTTCAGGGTTAGACAGCATGGAGATTAACACACAAGCCTGCCTATTCCTTATCTACAATGCAATCCACCAGTGAGAGTTCACCTGTTCGGAATTATGGGTCTGAAATATCCTAGTGTAGAACGAAGGTTCTTTCTGCTTTTTAGGAAAATAGTTCCTTTGTTCTTTCAAAACCATCATTCACCAACAGGTGCTGACAATTATGGGGCCTTCCTAAAACAAGTCTAAGGTAACTAATTTCTAATTAGGAACTAGGTAACTAACTAGCAATTAGGTAATTAGATTTTAAATTAGAAATAAGGCACACTTTTTAACAGTGAAAGTGATTAACCTTTGGAACAAATTACTAAGCAAAGTGATGGATTCTCCACCTTTGAAGTCTTCACATGAAGACTGAATGCCTTTCTGGAAGATATGCTTTTGTCAAACACAAGTTACTGCTTTAAATTCAGGAGTAGCTGGATGAAATTCTATGACCTGTGTTTAACAGGAGGTCAGACTAGATTATCTAATGATCCCTTGAGGCCTGAAAATTTATGAAATGTATGAATCTATGAAAAAAGACTTCAGGAGTGAAAGCAACATCTCCACTGAAAGATTTAGTGCACATCTGGCAAGTAACCAATCCCAAAGGAAGAGTTTTTACATTTTGTTCTTGTTACATTTCCAAGAATTAGTTCAGGATGCAAGCCAAAACAAAGTCAGGACAATTTTCACTTGAAAATAGTCTTAATTTCATTGTGTATTGAAAGCGTACAAAAATACAAAGTGTTCATGGTTTTGACATAGAAAAAAATGACTATTTTGCATAAATTTCACACAAAAATAAAGTTTCTGGGTTTCAAAATGAGAAGTGAAATGAAAAAAATTATCTCACATTAATGTGTTTTGGTCATTTCCACTCAATATTTGTAATCAGCCAATTGGCATTTAACCAGGATACATAATCTACATAGACCCTGGAGAACCGATGAGGCTCTGTGGCTAGTTCATGGGTATTTTTCACCTGCCCATATGGAACACAGTTGCTTTCTGATATTCAGGCCACTATGGGAATCACAAGGGCCATTCATGAGGATCCATAGTTTGTGGCAGTGTCTGGCCCCTTGGATTTTGGCAGTCGGAGCTGATCTTCACACTAGGGGCTGGTCTACGCTGGGGGGGGGGGGGATCGATCCAAGATAGGCAACTTCAGCTACGCGAATACCGTAGCTGAAGTCGAAGTATCTTGGATCGAATTACCTGGGGTCCACATGGCGCGGGATCGACTGTCGCGGCTCCCCCGTTGACTGCGCTACCGCTGCTCGCTCTGGTGGAGTTCCAGAGTCGACGGTAGGCGCGTTCGGGGATCGATATATCGCATCTTAACGAGACGCGATATATCGATCCCGGATAAATCGATTGCTACCCGCTGATAGTGAAGACGTACCCTAGGCTTGTTCTGTCCTGCCAACATTTCTGGTATAACTTGCTGCAATGCGCTGCTTAGAAAATGCACTGGCACATTGCACTGCTGTGTGTATGGGAAGGAACAAGGCCAAATTTCAGCAGGACTTGTGGTATGTCAATGCTCAGCAGTTGTGCAGCCTCCTTGGGACCTGAGTTTTACTGTGTGTGTGACCTTGCTCTCCAGGTCGAGGTGCCATGGCAGAAGTATGGACCATTGTGGAGAAGGTGAAGGCGATCCTTTCAGAGCGGGACTTGCTGACACAGAGCTGATTCCTTGATGTAAATCACATTTGCCCCCCTTCTTGACAATTTTTCAGTGTGAGGATGAAAGCAACGGGGAGCTGAGATGGCATGTGCCTCCAAGAACACTGCCATAAGCTGAAAGAATAAGATGTTTGGGTTCCAGTGCCATCAGCTGCTCTGACATTAAAACCTCTTACATCATTAGAGATCTTCCAAAACTGAAGTCAGGTTTCTGTATATGATTATTTGGGGGCCCTCTGCCATACCTTAAACACAGTTCACATACAAACATCTGTATAGAGAGGGACTTGTATCATACTAGGCCTCTCGATCCTGAGTATTTTATATGGAATAGTTTTTGAAACATTGAAAAGAGGATTTCTAAGTTGCTCTAGGTCCAGCATCAAGAGGAGTCAGAGAAGAGAACGGTGTAAAACAATGGTGGGCAACCTGTGGCCCGCGGGCCGCACACGGCCTGTCAGGGTAATCTGCTGGCGGCTGTGAGACGGTTTGTTTACATCAACAGTCTGCAGGCACAGTCGCCCGCAGTTCCCAGTGGCCACGGTTTGCTGTTCCTGCCCAATAGGAGCTGCGGGAAGCAGTGGCCCTCGCCGTTTCTTACAGCTTCCATTGTCCGGGAACGGCGAACTGCGCCGGCCACCGCTTCCCGCAGCTTCCATTGGCTGTGAACGGTGAACTGCGGCCACTGGGAGCTGCGGGTGGCCGTGCCTGTGGGGGGCCGTGCCTGCGGACGGTCTATATAAACAAACTGTCTTGTGGTCCACCAGCGGATTACCCTGACGGGCCGCAGGTTGCCTACCGTTGGTGTAAAAACATTTGTTATGGGAATGATCCCAGCCTCTCCCACTAAAAGTCACTGTAGTGAATGTTGTAAGAGCACTGGTTTTGGAAAGCTCTTACAGAAGCTGCTCTAGTCTTCACCTTTTCAGCAGTTGTTGTTTTTTAACATCACAGGAGAAAAAAATACATTGAAAGAGAGCACCCAAGGCCTTGTATTGACCTTTGCCCTTTTGTATCCATTGATGTGTGGAGATGCAGACGTCAAACATAAACCAAAATGAACTTTTGGCTCTGCCCAACGGTGTGCTGCAGGTCTTAGAATCAACACGTTTGGCCACTCTGGAAAGCCTGGAGAAGCTGTTCCCAAGAGACTTTAACACTCCTTTTGAAATTGAAAATTAACTGCATGATGTGAGGAAGTTGGGAAATCCTGACCATGGACACCAGCCGTTAGACCTGCGAGGGCCCCACAGTTCATCCTCCTCCTTTGAAATGCAATCCTTCTACCTGAAAGGGACCGGAGTGGACTGGGGAGGGTGCTGCAGTCAGCAGACCACAGGGTTTGTTTACAGATACTAGAGTTTATTTTTAACAAGTCACAATCAAATATAAGGCCTTCTCTACATAACCTACATATTAGGCAACCTTTGAGCTCCTTAGCACGAAAGGTTATCATGGAGTGTTTAGTTTCCTTATCGATGCTACACAAATAAAAAGGCTTCTGAACTTTCCCACTTTGGCTTCTTTACTGATGTAGAGCGTGCCCCATGGGGGCCCAGAATTGCTGGGGATAAGGACAGAAGGGAGTCTAATGTCACAGCCTTAAGAGTAGCAGGGATGTTTGGCTGGGTGATACTCTTCCACAGTAGCAGTAAGAATCCTCGTTTTATAGAGGTGGCCCGGTGGTTGTCCTCTGTCTGGCCTCCAGCACTGACCTAGCTCTAGCAGTGCTATATTGTGAGGGTGACTGACTTGTGGGGTTTCCCCATGTTTGTGGGAAAAGTCTCTTAATATTAGTCTATGAGAATAGCTTTGTGATGCTGACGCAGGGCCTGATCCAAAGCCCATTGACATCACTAGAAAAGAATTCCATTGACTTGACTGGACTTTGGATCAGGCCCTCACTGAGTGACTACAGAATCTTTGAGGAGAGAATGTGTTCTGCTGGTGGTTATAATGGAATGGGAATTGGGACTCTTGGGTTCTATTCCTGGTTGTGCGACTGATTTGCTCTGTGGGATTGGAAAAATCACTTACCCTCTCTGTGCTGCAGTTGCCTCATCTGTAAAAAAAACAACACAAAACTATCTTGTGAGGCTAATATACTTGCAAAGCACTTACAGATCATTGAATAAAAGGAATTTTACAATTTCAGAGCCAAAAGAGAGAATCCAGTGGAGATTATGTCAATGAAGTTGTATAGATATATATTAAAGTAGAACTTGATCCATAGCATGAGGAAATATGAGCAGACAGTGAGATGACCACTTAAGGAAGTAAAAGAGAACTGCTTGAAAAATAAAGGATGGAGCTTTTTCTTAAAGGACCCCACTCTGTTTTACCTGTGGTACAATATCAGACATTAGTGTGCCATTGTGTGATCCTTTGCATAATCACTACTTGGAAACCTGAGGGAACACTTCTTAGGCCTAGTCTACACTATGAGTTTAGGTCGAATTTAGCAGCGTTAAATCGAATTAAGCCTGGACACGTCCACATGACGAAGCCATTTTTTTCGACTTAAAGGGCCCTTTAAACCGGTTTCTTTACTCCACCTCTGAGGGGATTAGTGCTAAAATCAGCCTTTGTGGGTCGGATTTGGGGTAGTGTGGACGGAATTCGACGTTATTGGCCTTCGGGAGCTATCCCACAGTGCTTCATTGTGACCGCTCTGGACAGCACTCTCAACTCAGATGCACTGACTAGGTAGACAGGAAAAGCCCCGCGAACTTTTGAATTTCATTTCCTGTTTGCCCAGCGTGGAGAGCACAGGTGACCACGCAGAGCTCATCAGCACAGGTAACCATGATGGAGTCCCAGGATCGCAAAAGAGCTCCAGCATGGACAGAACGGGAGGTACGGGATCTGCTCGCCATATGGGGAGACAAATCAGTGCTAGCTGAACTCCGTAGCAGTAAACGAAATGGCAAAATATTAGAAAAAGTCTCAAAGGCCATGAAGGACAGAGGCCATGACAGGGACGCATAGCAGTGCCGCGTGAAAATTAAGGAGCTAAGGCAAGCCTACCACAAAGCTAGAGAGGCAAACGGAAGGTCCGTGGCAGAACCACAAACATCCCGCTTCTACGCGGAGCTGCATGCCATGCTAGGGGGTGCAGCCACCACTGCCCCAAATGTGTGCTTTGACTCCATCAATGGAGAATCACGCAACAGGGAAGCGGGTTCAGGGTACGAGGAAGATGATGATGAAGACAATGAAGATAGCTCACAGCAAGGAAGCGGAGAAACCAGTTTCCCCAACAGCCAGGATATGTTTATCACCCTGGACCTGGAACCAGTAACCCCCAAACTCACCCAAGGCGTGCTCCCAGACCCTGAGGGCACACAGGAGACCTCTGGTGAGTGTACCTTTGTAAATATTACACATGGTTTAAAAGCAAGCATGTTTAATGATTAATTTGCCATGGCAATCGCGGCCAGTACAGCTACTGGAAAAGTCTGTTAACATGTATGGGGATGGAGCGGAAATCCTCCAGGGACACCTCCAGAAAGCTCTCCTTCATGTACTCCAAAAGCCTTTGCAAAAGGTTTCTGGGGAGGGCTGCCTTATCCCATCCGCCATGGTAGGACACTTTACCACGCCAGGCCAGTAGCACATAGTCTGGATTCATTGCATAACAAAGCATGGTAGCGTATGGTCCCGGTGTTTGCTGGCATGCAGACAACATCCATTCCTTATCTCTCTTTGTTATCCTCAGGAGAGTGATATCATTCACGATCACCTGGTTGAAATGGGGTGATTTTATTAAGGGGACATTCAGAGGTGCCCGTTCCTGCTCGGCTGAACAGAAATGTTCCCCACTGTTAGCCACGCGGTGGGGGGGAGGGTGAAGTGATCATCCCAGAGAATTGGGTGTGTGTGT